CTTGTGCTCTTTCTCTCTCTCTCTCACAAATAAATAAATAAAATCTTTTAAAAAAAAAAAGAAATGGCCTTACCTGGACTGTCTTGTATTTTTTGGTCAGGAGTCAGGAAATACTGAGTCTAAGGATCCTCCTTGCATTGGATGAGGGGATACCAGACCCTGCATGTGTTGTGCCTCCAGGCCTGGGGTCCCAAGCTAGTTAGCTTTTTTTTTCTTTCCCCCCACCTTTAGGAGTTTGTTGGTTGTCTCTTCCGTTATTTCCAAAGTTTATAGTTGTACTTAGCAGGGAGGAGTAGGGAAAAATAGGATCAGAGCCATTTTGTTCAGGCTGGAAGTCCTTTGCATATGTTTATTTTTCTTCATGCAGAAATTCATTTTGAGTTTTGGTTACCTGAAATTATTTTTAAAACCTTATAGGATATGAAGAACAGGATAAGCGTATATTATCTTGGTGAATTTAGATAAATTTAGATATTTTAATATGTAGACACACATCCTAGATTAGCACTTGTATGTCAAAGTATATAATGATTACCAGCAAAGCGTATTCTTTCTCAAGTGTTAAAAAACACCTACTCAAGTCCATCTTCAGGCCCAATTTTCTTCTCCCATGTAAGGTAAGGCTTTTGCAGCTATAGTGGTAGAGAATTTAAAACTGCTTTCTTAAGAGCTGAATAACTTAAACATTTGAAACCCTTTATGATGTGAGGCGGAACGTACAAGTGTGCCTACCCAAAATGGGTAATTGTGTAAATTGCTGTATTTTTCACATTTCTATTTTAAATATGAGGTCAGTGCTCTGAAAAGTAAGTTACTAATAATTGAAATGGTTAATGAATTTTATGTTTCCCAACAAAAACACTTTTAAAGAGTCTGTGTACACATGAAGAAGGTGTTACACATTTTAAAAATGGAAACTATTATTGGCACACTAATATAAAAACATATAAAGGTTTAATTGATAGTTTTTTAAAGATCTTTCTCTCCCCTAGGATACACTCCATGTCCTAAAAATTGACAAGCTGTTAGTTTTTGAAAAGAAAGAAATCCAAAGGATGCTGAAAACAAGAATCACTTTTTTCTAATCTATTCCACTTCATGGTAGGCGTTGAGTAACCTGTGTAGACTCTATATTCCATGTAAAGGAGAAACTACTTGTTATTCGTTATGCAGGAGTTAACTACAGCAAGTGGAGTATTGATGCTGCTCGCAATATTACAGACCTACCATTCAGTTGTTTTTAAATATTTTCAAAACACAAAACCTTTTCTTCAAATAAACTGTAAAAACTTGGATTTTAACTCAGAAAAGAGCAGCCATTTACCAACCCCTTTTTCCCTGCTGCTGACCATCAGGCACCTCCTCAGAATTTCTAAGACAGGATTCTTGGAGCCCATTTATCAGATGAGGGAAATGAGACTCAGAGCAGAGCTGTACTGAAATTACACAGCTACCCACAAGGCATTACTGGTTGAGACATAATGTCAATAAATAGCCCCGCCGCCCCCCCGCTGGGGTCTCTTTTAGTGATTTCCTTCTAAGCCTCACATCTATCTCCAATAACAAAAGAGCCAAAAATTTATGGCCACTCCATGGATATTTAATATCACCATTCTATGCTAAAATATTTTATAAATGATGGAATATCTTCATTTATTCATTTGTTTGTCCATCAATTCAAGCACTCAATAAGTACTGTGCATCTACTCTCTATCAGACATTATTTTAAGGAGCAGTGATAAACCAGTGAACAAATGGAAGTCTCTGTTTTCAAGGAGCTTCCATTGTTATGGAAGGAGAAAGGCAATAAGCAAAAACATATGTAATATGTCACATATTTGTACGTGCTAAGAAGGAAAATAAAACAAGGTGAGAGAGACAGAAGGTGGAGGGGAACGCAACCTGAGGTGGGCCGTTACACAGCACATTCTCTGCTGAGGTGACATTTGAGAAATTTGAAGGAAATAAGCAAATGAGCCCTACAGATATCTGCAGAGAGAATATGCCAGGCAGAGAAAACAGATCAAAGTTCACGAGGTGGAAGTGTGCGTGATGGACGCGGGGCACCTGAGCCTGGAAGGGGTTGAAGGTGGAGGTCGGGTAAAACAGGTGGATGTCTTGAGTTTGAGATTTTTTGTTTTAAACATTTCTTTATAAATAGGCAAGAACATATTGCCAAACTCCCAATTAGACCACCCATTTAAATAATTCAGAGCTTGTCTAGCTTATTGAGTCCTCTAGTTTCAGAACATCCTGATCTGATTATAGTTACATATCGGCTCTGCCACTTGCTGGCCACGTTACCAGGACAGATAAGGCTGTTTTCCTCATCTGTAAAGGGAGGTAATAACACCTGTGCTGTCCTCCACCCAAAACGGTTGTAAGGGTGAA